ACGGGTTGTAGCACGTGGAGTGACCCTGACCAGTTCTTCCCTTTCTTTTCGATCCGTTGACCCTTGTCAACATGCATTTTTACCTGTTAAAGTGAGTGCGACGTCTCTAAAGAAAAGAGATAGAGTACCTTTGAGTTAGATATCAGAAAACCGGATACTGTATAACCCCATGATACTTAGTAAATTTGGAAATCATATTTCCGGATATTATCATAGCGCAATGTATAAGTACTTTTAGTTTCTTTATGGATATTATGAATCTAGATCTGTTAACAGCTTGCTTATTTTCTTTTTTTAAGAGATTGAGTCCTTTAAAAGTGCCTGCCATATTATAAAAAAATTATTAAATAACAATGAAGACACTTATTTGTTTCGTCAAAATCGCTACAACATTCGATGATGAAAAAGAGCGGCATATTCCTGATTATTTACCAGAAAGCCCAGAAATAGTTGACCTAACTAATGTGCTAATAAGTGCTACGATACACATATAGAACTAAAACGAGGCACTTCAACTCATTCATTCTTAAAATGTGATTTTTGGCCAATATACCTTGCATTAAAGAAAGGAAATCATGTAAAATTTCTTTTAATGGATGAATCTCGAGCTTTACTGTTTACAAAAATTTCACAAATTGTATCGGTTGTATTAATTTATGGTGTTAATCATCTTCACAATGATTGATGAAAAACATATATCACACGATTGATGAAAAACATATAGACTTCTTAAATGTATGTAATGATTCATGATTGATTCATGATTAATTTCGTTATACTTATTAAACATAACTAAATATTTTATATTTGTTAGTTAATCAAATCAAATAACTCATTTTTGCAACAAGGAAATCAATAGAACGAACTAAATATTGACTGATTTGAATTACCAAAAATTTTCGTTTTTTCGAGGAATTAGCCACGAATTAAAAAGTATTATCATAAAATACTTTCATCAATTTTTTATTACTCACTAAAAAAATCGCTCACATTTTGTGCTACCCTATATGGATAACTTCTTTTGGGGCGAGTTTTTGATAATCGACAGTAAAATTTTGATCAGTCCGACGAAGCAAAAAACAAACGAAAAAAAAGTGAAAAACGCAAGAAACGGCAGTCAGAACCTACTTTGGTGCATTAATAAAACATGCCGGGGAGCCCATTTTACATATATTCCCTTTTTAATATTAGGCCACGCAAAGTTGATTTTTCGGTTTGCATTACATGGATTTCAAAATTCCCGGTCGGTCGGTCGGATTTTTTTTTTTAATCTATGGTGAATTAACGTGCTCATGTTCATACATAAAGTTAGTTTTTCGCTTTGTATAGCATGGAATCAGAAAATTGAGTTGGTAGTCGAATTGTTTTCTATCAGTTCTATCGGATCGTTTCGGGAAAATAAGGTCGCTACCGGGTGATACCGGATTAATTCATGCAAAAATTTAAATGCCAGAAATTGAATAATTGGCACGATTGGGGCTTAAAAAAAAAAAAAATAATATTGAAAATATGAAAAAAATGGGTCGGCGGGTAATGCAAAACGAAAAATCAACTTTGCGTGGCCTTACCTCAAAATAGCCTAACCCTAATATTTAGTTAAATTACACAAAGTTTCAAAACTCGCACCGCTTTAGCAGACTTCTTTTGGCATCTGTTGGTGGTACGGGAAAGAAGTCGTTGTATAGAAGTTTTTTTGCACTATGCTATCCGAATAGTCAGTCCGAATAGTGTTGACCTCATATGAACAGGGAAAAATCAAATTTTAATCTTTATTCTGAAATCAGCATTAACTTCCGTGTAAACATTTGTTATTAAAAAACTAAAACTCCCCACACATCCCGGCAAAACGTCCCAGTAAAACTTCCCCGCATATTCCAGAAAAAACCTTGTTTTTAATATATTACTGTATTAGCTCCATTAACCTTAATGACTTCACCTTTTGATGACGTGATTAGCACATGATAAATTCTTTCAACCTTTTAGAAATTATCTTTTGTATGGGGAATTTTGACATGGAATTGGCGTGCTTGATCTTGGTGACATCGTTTCTACTGCAGAATTGTTTCTTAAAATTTCCAAGTTCGACACAATTAGATTCTATCAATTGAATGTTAGCAAATGTAAATATCTGTAATTTTTATAGTAAATAAATGTGAAGTTCAGAACCAGTTTTATTGTTCATATATTAAACCAGATTTAATCTGATTTTAATATTTGAAAATAACTGTTTCTTAAATTCGAACTAAACTTACACAAAGAATTATCATTTTTTTAATCAAGTCTCTAAGTTTCGAATAATCAGCAATCGTGGTTGGGATTTCTGCAATAAACATGCGCTTTAAAATAACATATTTGCCAACCCTAATCAATTTTTTGAATGTAATTTCATATTTCTTGGTTGATGCACCAAAAATTTGTAACTTTTTTGGTGCTGGGCACCCCAGTTCCAGTTCTTTAGAAAAAATATAATTCAAACTGTTTTGCATCAAGCGATCCAATTTGATGCTATCATTACTAAATTTCGTTTGGTCTTTATGTGATGGTCCTGCAACTTCTAAAGAAAAAAGTTCATAACCTGAACAACTTTGAATGGCAAAATCTGGGCAGTTTCCACCAGAACTTGTGTTATCATTATTCTGATGTTTTCGATATTTCGAAGCTGCAGAAGCCGCATCCCTAATATATAGTAAAGTGTTTTTTAAGAATGTGAAAACAATAGCCACAATAAACTTTACAATAATCGAATTTTTTTTGATGCTCACATAACTAATCTCATCGTTGTTTTCCCCAATATCACCACCAAAAGTTGCAACCATGTAATAATGATAAAAATTCTTAAAGTTCGTTAATGCTAGGGTCAGCATTTATATTATAGTTAGCTGTTTGTGCACTAAGTGCAGCTTCCTATACAGCTTTTTGAGTTATAAGCAATTTTTATGTAACTGTAACTGCAACTTTTTGATGGTGTTAAATAGGGTAGTTCTGCAACGCTAGGAACTTTTTGCATCATAACCAAAATATTTCATGAAGAATATATGATTGATAGCAATAAACTTACCAACTTGTGTAAGTGCCGTCAATATCTGTTAAAACATCGATGCATTGTTCGAAGATCT